TAAACATACAGCCTCGTTATACATTCTCACGTAGCCCTTTAGGCATCCACATACAACCTCGGTAGACTTTCTGGCACAGCCAAGACAGCCCTCCGAAAAAAAGCTCGTCAGACCACTACACACATCCCCGTTACATACAAACGCTAGACACAAGGCTCTGTTAAGCCTCAACACAGAGACATGTTAGGCCTCAACAGACAGTCATGTTAGATCGCCAAACACAGCCCTTTTGGACCTCCACAAACAGTCCAGCTTGGCCTTCACAGATACTTATGTTAGGCATCCACACACAGTCCTGCTTGGCCTCCACACACAGTCCTGCTTGACCTCCACACACAGTCATGTTAGGCCTCCACACACAGTCAAACAAAACATGCTTGATGGTGAGCCTTTCACAACAAGGCATACACACAGGAGGTTCGTCTTGATCTGTTTTCAGCAGACATTCGTGGTTAAACCGACTGAGGTCAATATGACAAGTAAATAAATTACCAACATTATATAAGCCACATTTGGTTCCAACCATGTTTAACCATGCTTGTTGTGAACTGAATCGTGCCACACCCAACATCAGATTGGTATCATGCATTAGTCATGTTGTTACACTTACCACACATAAAATGTGTTCATCATTTATCTGGACATGTACTTGTTTATCTGCTTTATTTAATATAGTTGAAAATTCGTTCGTATAGATTTCGACAAAACCGTGAGTGATCGTCCTAATCATCATAAGAAAGGTAAGATACTTTATGGATGACAACTTCTTATTTGATGGTGCGACGTTTCGGTATAGGTTCTTTATATCGCTGTCAACCAAAGAGATAGTCCTTATACAGATAGAGGCAGGGCGAACAGTTTACACACAGCTTACAGAGTCCGACAGACGGTTTACACACATTTAACAGAGTCCGACAGAGGCTACCTCGGGAAGGAAGCGAAGTAAGGCTGATACATGTGCAGAATATGGTTGGATTTGGTGGCCAGTGTACGTCCCTCCTTGTCACTGGCTTGCCTTTCTGCAGGTCTAACCGCGCTCTTCCCGCTATCTACCGGCTCTCTGTCCGCTTTTAAAGGCAGGTGAACGACCAACAATCTGTACAGGATGGCAATTCTCATGGACATAATCTGTTTAGCTAGGCATATTTTGCCAAGCTTGACATGTCTGGCACGTGGACACGACAAATAGTGTAACTTGCATTCGCCCTTTCCTCATCAGAAAGTTGTGGCAACAAATTTTCTATTTTACTATTCAGCTGAAAGAACCGGTGTCGACACACCCGCAAAACATGTGTACAGCTCATTGACATTTCATATTTCCTCTGTAGGCTGAGTATGCTACACAGACTTCACGGACAAGGTTTAAACCAAACAAAGGCTTACAGAGAGTATAGTGATATAAGTATAATGTTGATGTGACTAAACAAAGCTTAACGTGTGGGTACGCTCCACAACACGTGTACACTAAACGCCAACAGAAACGTTACCCTCCTACATTTACGAATTACTTAAAAACTATCAAAGATATGTTAGAAGGTATTAGTTTACAAGAAAGCTGATCAACACAGCTTTCTGCAAATCACAAAAATATTTCTCAAATGCATTCATATTTAGGTGAAATGCATCTTTTTCAGAAGAGTTAAATTGTTCTATTTTCGTCCATGCAGAAATAAACCAATAAGAGTGACTTAGATGGCCAAAAGAAAGGTTGAAATAAAAATGTTCTTTGAAGCAAAGATAATGCATTTAAAGATACCATTTTTCAACTATTAAAACAAGAAACAACTGTAGTAGAGTGTGTAAAATTGTCAGATAATCATTCCTATGATTTCAGTTTTTTTTAAACATTTTCTGCTGATTTCAATTAGTGAAAACAAGTAGAACGTGTCTGAAGTGTTTGGAAACTTCTGAAATTATCTTTGTTAACATTTTTGCTTGCAAAGTAACATTTTTCCATTTTCTGTTTACACATAGCAATATCAATCGCCAAAACGCAGCAATATTCAAGCAGTATTTGCATCCATTTCACATGTAAATGATTCTCTAGGGTATAAAGAGAGCCTAGAATGCATGATATGATACACAAGTACGAGAAATATGCCACGATTAACAGCTGAAGAGAGAGAAAGAGCCATTGTAATGGTGCAAATGGAGTCGACATACAATGTTGTTGCCAACGCCCTCGGATGCCATCGTATCACTGTTATAAGTCTTATTCAGGGCTTCAGACAGACTGGGGTCCCGTAGACAGACCAAGAAGTGGACGTCCACGCATCACAACGCCAGCTGAAGATAGGTACCCCCGTCATTAAGGAAGGTGGGTAGCGTTTCTTTTGGCGTTTAGTGTATGTTAAATTACGTACATAATGTAATGATTGTAGAGTTGCATTTTTAGCAAATATGACTGTTTGAGGATGTTATCCATATGAGTGTGTTTCCATCAACATACAAATAATCCAAGCCACGACATCCGCCATCCCCATAATATCATAGTCAATTCCAAAGTAGATTCTGTTTTAAACATAAGGCGGGCACATAGTTTGTAGTCCTACATTGTGTTTACACTGAAATGTAATAGTCATTCACAATCTGCTAGAACTGAATAAGTCGCCATGCAGGATACAAGCATTTTAAAGATGATGATATGTTAAAATCAATGTATACCTGTGTAAAAGCCAGGACTATTATTCATTTGAATAATTTATTATCATTTTCATTCTTCGATTTTTCTCGACTTTCTACAAAACAGCTTTCGTAGATTTAGAAACCTGAAATCTGATAGTAGATAGGGACAGTGTGAATCTCGTTAATCCATTCATGCGCGTTACTAATTAGATGACGAGGCATTTGGCTATCCTTAAGAGAGTCATATCCGGGGAACTGCATATATTGTTAAAAGAAACATGTTTCCTTGTAAGACAATTCGTAAGCTGTGCTTCACCATACGAATATCACAAGTTATGTTTCAATCTATTCTTCGAGCTAGATCACAATTATTGGAGTGTAACTGTCCCGATTCATCTTTAAACTCAGCTAGGATTCTATGCAAACACAATTATGCGAATGTATTTAGACCTACTGACTATATCACACACGTGTTTTCTTTTTAATGTTTTCTTGTACTTTTGATAGTTCACGTATTGTTATTTTTGCATAACACATCATAGAAAATGTTTTCTGTAATACTCCATTAAGAGCAGAGCTTGTTTATAGCTCTATGTGTACCATGTATGTGAGGTGTGACCATGCATCTGTCTGTATTATGGGCCAGTGGCCTTTTACTGAATAAAACTGTCTTTCTGTCTGTCTGTCCATTGCTTGCACAGCTTATGTTGCAGTAACAGTGCTATTTTCTCAGTGACTGTGAAATGTTAACTTTAGGCACTGGGATACTGAAACATAGTGTATTGAGTATCCGGATGAAACCACTACGCCTTGCATTTCAAGAACCAAAATATGAGTTAAAACATAACAGCAGGGCTTATCTCATTCACCAAGAGTGAACTTCACAGTCACAGTGGACTAATTAATAAGAGCTTCAACTGTATGAATGCAGACATGATCTGGTCACTATATGGCTGGAATAATGCCGATGGGACGTAAAACACAACACAACTCAACTGATAAAGAACTATAACAACAGAAACGCTGTGGGTTAAATGCTGACACAAGAGAGTGAGTGAGTGAGTGAGTTTGGTTTTACGCCGCTTTTCACGGCGGTGGACACCAGAAATGGGTTTCACACATTGTACCCATGTGGGGATTCGAACCCGGGTCTTCGGCGTGACGAGCCAACGCTTTAACCACTGGGCTACCCCACCGCCCTCTGATACAAAATGGTGCCTACAACCCAAATATATTCCTAGGCAATACATATACGAATAGATTCCTTTTTCCTTAACGGTCATAACACTATTCAGATGTGCATAATAGCTAATGATACAAATTGTATATATAAGACATATCTTGAGACCCCCCAAATGTAATGTTTGTGTAACTCTTGTTCTTCATGGGTCTGATCGCAATGAATGGGATTGGCACAATAGTCTCCGTTAAAACTGCGATCGTATTTTCTAAAATGATCATAAGTTCATGAGCCTACCGCCACTCTCGTCATAACAGGTTTCTGTACCAGATATAGTACACACCAAAAGATAATCCCACAGCGTGACTGTACTTTACGTCAAAGTCCAAACAATGTTTAAGCAACATGGTTGGCTGGACATGGTTACGTAATGAGAAGGATTGACTGTAATTGTGATAACATTATCTGTTCAGCAGTTAACAAAGGCGTATGGCGGTCTACTTTCTGGTCTTCAACAACCCATGCTTGTCGTAAGAAGCGACTAACGGGAACGGCTGGTCAGGTGCGCTGACTTGATTGACAAATGCAGTCGCATCCCAGCTGCGTAGATCGATGCGTAGATCGATGCGTTGCCCCAACGTCACCACTTACGTTGGCCCAACATCTCTTCTCCAACGTTGGTACAGCCAACGTTGGCCTGAACTTCAACTCCAGTGCCAGCTGAATGTCTAGTTCATGAAACAACTCGTAACCTTTGTTGAAATCGTTCCAGTTTCTTTGAACGTTGGCCCAACATTGGCAAACAAACGTTGGCCCAACGTTGGATCAACGTCTGTTTCATTCCTCAATACCTCTTACCTACCCTGAAATGTTTGTACAAATCTCGCAATACTATCACATAGCAAGCAATACATTCTTCAAGGTGAATTCACTCTCTCTGTCATTGCTGGACACCACTGGACAGCTTTATGTAGGCTCAAGAAAAATTTAAAGTGTTTCTGAATACAATTAGTTAAAATATTATGCATATTTCAAAACAACCTTCAAGTCTATATATATCACAAACGATATTAAAAAATAGTTGATTTTTAAATAGATAACCATTAGGCAACAAGCCCTGGAAAAAATCCCAACACAATGATTTGAAAAATTGAATTTTTCTTGATCTTACCCCAGACATTTAACACCTAGGGCAAGAGTGAGAGCAGCAAAATAGTCTCTGCATCTGATGCCCCACAATCCATTTTCTTGATCAGTTAAAAGTTTGATGATGACAGCAACAAAATGAACAAAAGATAATTCTGGTTTAGATGACCTTAATTTATCTCTTAAATTACAAATCAGGACTTGGACTTAGTGGCAGGGCATCCTTATATTTTCAGTTATCAGATGAGGAGGAGAAAGAAATATTCACAGGAGATCTTCATCTGTATACAAGGTCTGTGCTTATGCCTTGGCCTCTGAATAAAAATAAATCACATAAACATCTAATGACTTCACAAGACATCTATTAGTGATGTAAACAAACTTTGGCTACTTTTTAAAACTTCAATGGATATCTGGTGTCATTGAATCACAGGAGAAAAGTACTTAAATGATTTGGATATATCAAGTTTTAAACTTAAGTTTTTATTTAGACATTTTCATCCTGGAAGATGTTTCCTTTTTGTTTGCATTGTACATACCTTTTGTATGGGTACAGCAGTTGGAATCACCACTCCTTCATGTTCTGTTCTTCACGTGAATATGTTGCCACAAGCTGTAAACATCACCTGCACAGAAACCACAAGCTGTCACTTTTTTACTTTAACCAATATAGATTAACCCCATTTCTGAAAAGAATGATGTAGCTAGTGTCAGTTTAAGTAGATATGGTGATTACTGTAAAGCAGTAAATTTACCTTACTATTGTATCTTACATTCTATTAAAACTGGTAATTCAAATATAGAATAAATGCAAAATAAAAAAATGTTTTGTAGTTATTCAGATGTTGGGGAAATTTGTAAAATAGCATAGCTTAGATGATATCAGAAAAGTCGAAAAAACAATGTAGTCGTATCAACTACATGTATGTATGTGTTTGCATACTGATGCGACTTTGTTTCCATAGACATACATGTTAATTCAGTTTAGCATAAAAAATTTTCATTGATTTAATTTTTGTAAGATGCTAGTCAAATTTTGCACATTCGTGAGGAATAATCTTACCTACGATCACATAATTTCTGCTGCTTATGTATCGAATGGCAACAATTATTTAAATAGTGGTCGGAAAATTGAACTAAAATTATGTGGGCAGAGCCAAGCTTATTTCACATTTGCCTGTCTGAGTGTCAAATTTTACAAAGATCCATCCTAAACTCACTTCATGAAAATTATTTATGCTGCACTGAAATAACATGTTAGCCTATGGAAATTACGTGAAGTGTCCGAATATAACCGGCACGAGTCTGTACACGCCCAGACAGTGATCGAAAACTGAACTCGCGATTCGCTTACACCAGTGAAGCTCCGCACGTCGAGTACATGGATGACTGGTACTGTAACTGTAATATTTTTTACCGTTGCCACAATCAACCATCATATAACAAATGCCACATACGGGATCATTCGGTGGTCATGTAGGTGGATGGACGGCTCGTGATCTCCGGACTGTATTTAAAAGTTTGATCCACATTACAGCGTATTTACGCGCGATACAGCGAGCAGGCGAGGGTCACTCGCCGACTTGTAACTTTAAACTTATATGCACTCTAGATCACAACCAACTAATTGATACTGACAAGCTCGATTTTCGTTTGATGCTGGAATGCTTCATTTTCAAAGCCACCAGTGTGATCACATACATGTACTTATTGGGCTTCAGTCATGAATTTCCTTAGCAGAGAACCGCGATGCGGTCATTTAACAGTCATGACATGTTTTCATTTTCAAGTAAATAATCATTCACGGTGGCATTTCTGAATGAACCATGACTGTTTTTCGGTGGGCACAGTTCGGAAATAGAGTTGAACATAATAAAAACAAAATGAAACACTTACCGCTATATATTCGAGGAAACCTGTACTCCGATGGCCAAGCTTGTGATCATGTCGCGTCGTCTGCTCGAAGAATGTGAGCGCCCTCTGGGAAAAGCTAACAGTTTGGAGTAGCGTCCCTTTAATAAAATATCCGCGAGGCTTCCCTGATGTTGGGCCAACGTATGAAATCCGGGCGTTGGGCGAACGTCGGAATGCTGTCTGGGACATTATACAATGTTAAAGTATGCGGATATGACAATAGACTTACGTGTAATCCCTATACATAATTTTATGGTAACAAATAAACCCATTTAAACTGAAAAGGAGCCCCAGTGAGCTGGGAGATTCAGGCCCTGAACCTTGGGAAATCGGGACTTGCTTCATTTAGGGCTTTAGCATTGGAGGGAGGTCTAGGCAGTAGGGAAAGTAATGTGGTTCAGGGACTGTGAAAAAGATTAAAATGACAACAAACGCTTGGAAAGGTTCAAAATTATTGACAGGAATTTCCTTAATAATACATTCCGTGACTTCCGTTGTCAGATGTTATCGGTTTTATCATGTCCTTTTAACGACAACTACATTATCACATTTAACAGATATTATACTTTAGGATCAACACTGTGGTTCGACTCATGATCAGCGTCACTTTAGTGACTGTTACACTAATAACAATAAGATCTTATCACACAATGCATACCCGTGGGCATGGTACGGGCAGTTGTTACGGGGGTGTTCTATCGTGCAGTCAATGTGGGTATCAAACGGTACATTCCGGATGTAACTGTACTTCATCCTGGAAGTTGAAAATGCGACGTTTTGACCACACATGTACTTTTATCTCTTAATATCTGCATGATCCCTGAATAATGACGCTGAGTAAATATGCTGACTTTGCATAAAGAAATGTTATTTCACAAATAACGACAGCCAAATGCATACGAAGAAAGTCACAAGAAATATAGATTGTTGGTTCTAGTATTCGGTCAGTTCTTATTCTCAATACTTGTATCTCTTAATATCTGCATGACCCCTCAATAATGACACTGAGTAAATATGCTGACTTTGCATACAGTAATATTAATTCACAAATATAACGACAGCCAAATGCATACGAACGAAGTCACAAAAAATAGATTTAATGTTTCCCCCATGGTCCAGAATGAACAGGGTGACAGATTTTCAAAAGGGGACTCCTATTCCAAAAGGGACATGCAATGACAGATCAAGTTATCCATGCATACCATTCTTAAAGACTCAAAGAGCTATCGTTATATTCATGGTTGTTTGTATTCAATCAGTTTTTATTCCCATCAGACGTTTTTGGGAAACAAAGTCTTCTGACTGTAACTACCACCGTGAGAAAATCGACGTCGAATATAAAAGTGTTCCTCGGTCCGACAGGTGGTAGCTCGTTTGTTGGTTTAAAGGCGTCCATGTCGCCATAGACTACTCCGAAAATATTCTTTATCACTGCCAGAGGAAACTGGTGGACTGTTTACGTTAAATCTTAAAGACGGACGACTTCAGAAGAAGCATAAGAAAATAGCTGATGGTAGGCTTTTCATCAGTATATTTTGATTTACCTGCATGTATGTTTCTCATGTTTCTGGTACTTACTGTTTCTTCTCTGCTTCAAATAAGGTAAATGTTTCGTGATAAAGGTACTACTCTGTCATGTTTAAAGGCGATGTTCTAGTGAGTGAGTGAGTTTAGTTTTACGCCGCTTTTTGCAGTATTCCAGCAATACCACGGCAGGGGACACCAGAAATCGGCTTCACACATTGTACCCACAGTGGAGACTCGAACCCGGGTTTTCGGCGTAAAGAGCGGGCGCTTTAACCATTAGGCACCCCACCGCCCCGGCACTGCTTTAACATGAAACATGAAATGGTGTAGGAATAAATCAACACATACATCACCTTGCTGTACCCACGTCCATAAGAAAACAGCAATGCTTTTTACATTACAAGCCCAGCAAACACCACCATTGTTTGCTTTTTCATATTGGAAGAGGTATGCTTCACTCAATACTGTATTACATTCTTGTGATATTAGTCTTAACCAAAATCTAGAATAATGAAATAATTTAACAGATGTTCTTGCCAAACCACTTTTACGGATATTTGGTGTATTTATATTATACCAATAGATAGTTTACAAAATTTCTCATGAATATTTTCTACTCTGTCTACCGATGTCTGCTTCCATATTTGTTATGTTGAAGTACTGCCAATTCCCCGATGTTGGGCCAATGTCGGGCCAACGTATGAAATCCGACCGCGACGTTGCCAACCATTGCCAACGTTGGGCGAACGTCGGAATGCTATCTGAGATGTTATGCAATGTTAAACTATGCGGATATGACCAAAGACTTACGCGTAATCCCTATATATAATTTTATAGTAACAAATAAACCCATTTAAACTGAAAAGGAGCCCCAGTGAGTTGGGAGATTCAGGCCCTGAACCTTGGGAAATCGGGACTTGTTTCATTTAGGGCTTTAGCATTGGAGGGAGGGCAAGGCAGTAGGGAAAGTAATGTGGTTCAGGGACTGTGAGAAAGATTAAAATGACAACAAACGCTTGGAAAGGTTCAGAATTATTGACAGGAGTTTCCTTACTAATAAATTCCGTGACTTGCGAATTGGTTGTCAGATGTTATCGGTTTTATCATGTCCTTTTAACGACAACTACATTATCACATTTAACAGATATTATACTATAGGATCAACACTGTGGTTCGACCCATGATCAGCGTCACTTTAGTGACTGTTACACTAATAACAATAAGATCTTATCACACAATGCATACCCGTGGGCATGGTACGGGCAGTTGTTACGGGGGTGTTCTATCGTGCAGTCAATGTGGGTATCAAACGATACATTCCGGATGTAACTGTACTTCTTCCTGGAAGTTGAAAATGCGACGTTTTGACCACACATGTACTTTTATCTCTTAATATCTGCATGATCCCTGAATAATGACGCTGAGTAAATATGCTGACTTTGCATAAAGAAATGTTATTTCACAAATATAACGACAGCCAATAGCATACGAAGAAAGTCACAAGAAATATAATTTAACTATATACCGATGTCTGCTTCCATATTTGTTATGTTGATGTGCTGCCAATTGTGACTTATAGTTTGGAAGGATAGGGATTCCATGCCCCACCACATATAGAAAATATTCAATCATGCGGCTTATTTGATGCGTGCATATTCCACTGCTAAAACTTATCATCGCCAAAGACTGTTCCTGTTCTGCAAACCTACGTACGGGCAATGTAATTCTCTTGGAGGATAGATATGTGCACAGATATCACGCGGGTTCCAAATGTGTACTTGTCAAAGTACAACGTGCTGTGCCTATAACGCGTTTGTTAAATATAGTGGGTTTTCGTGGCGAATACCTAACTTTTCAAAAAATCACTATTTTGAGTGATTCAGCTATGTGACTATATTCCATATTCACAATTTTGGGAAAAGATTCTTTGTATTCCAGTGGTCATGTTTTACGATACCAACAGTACAAAGTTAAGTCAAGCTGAGATTAATGTCGCTCTTATGACAAAGGAGTGAGTGAGTGAGTTAGTATTCAACGTCACTTATGACAAAGGATACAATATTGACTAAATGGTATTCCTTGCGTCATAGTTCGGTTAAATTACATTCATTTTACTGACGATAAATGCACGTCAGTCTCCTGATAAAAAAGAAAGAACCCTTTAAATATATTACCTAGTTGTCGTGGTACAGAGCGATCATAGCGCTAGGGTTATTGTAACTCCAATAACTTAACACTGGTTTGTACAACGGCACCCTGAACGTTTCATGTACGTTGATTTTTATGAGCCAAGATTACTTTGCATGTATTTGTGCCACTGGTTCGTGAACATCGGGTATAATCATTAACTGATAGTGGTTCATGAACACATTGTTATGACGTCAGAATTGTGTGTTTTTTATGTCAGATATTACCAACAGCCAAAAGATAATCATTATGGTTATTAATATGCATTATGATGTACAGTGACTATGTAAATCTTACGAAAGGCATGATTATATTGTATGTTTAGAAATGGCTGATGACACACCTTCTAATTCAGTGGGGCAGCGAGCAAATTATGATAAGAAAAGATAAGAAGATAAAGGCTATCAAACTTGGAAATATTGAAAGCATTCTAGCTCAGTTTGCGGATGATACTTCACTAACATAAGATGGTACTGAAATGGGTCTCTATGCAGTGCTTAATGTTTTAACTGTTTATGCAAGGTTTTCTGGACTTAAAGTTAATACTGAAAAGACAAAACTTATATGGATAGGATAAGAAAAGGGTCAAGGTACAAGCTTTGCAAGGAGTATAATTAAGATTGGTCACAATCACTGTTTAATCTGCTAGGTATCAAAATTTAAGTTGGTTTACAATCTATGGTAGACATTAATTATTCTGACAAGGTTGTGAAAATTGAGAGAGGGATGCAAACACTGGAATTAAGCTAGACTGTTAACGCCTAGGGGAAGAAATATTGTGCTGAAATCACTACTACTGTCGAAATTATATCATCTCTTCTCATCTATACCAAGCCCACCAGATGATACGATTCAATCTTTTCAGAAGAAATGCTTTAACTTTATTTGGAAGGGCAAGAAGGATAAAATTAAAAGAAAGATTACTACTACCACTGTTGAATATGGAGGTTTCAATATTCCAACAGTAAAAAATATTATAAAATCCCAAAATCTTGCATGGATTAAACGTCTCACTAAAACGCCTCACTATGTATTTCAAATATTCAGAAACTATGGTTCGCTGATGTTGTTTATATTAACAAATTTATGTTACCCAATGTTCCAAATAGATTCTGGAGGGAGGTTGTGGAGGCATGGTCTGACTATTTAACAATTTGTTATCAGAATGAAATAAATAGTACAGAGGTCCTAAATCAATTACTTTGGTACAATAACAATATTGATCGGTGGCAAAACAGTCTATCACAGGAACTTAGAAGAAAGGGGAATACATTCTTGAGAAATATAGTAAATGTGGATGGTAATATACTGTCTTTGGAAGAACTGAATTATAAATATGATATAGGTGTTGATTTTCATACATACCAAGGACTTAAAAGAGCAATCATTGGAAACATAAAGAAGAGGAATTTCACCTTTA